CTCAGAGACCCAGCACCCTGAGTGTCCAGCTCCACACCTGACCCCCTAGAAACCCAGCACCCTGAGTGTCCAGCTCCACACCTGGCCCCCTAGAAACCCAGCACCCTGAGTGTCCAGCTCCACACCTGGCCTCTCAGAGACCCAGCACCCTGAGTGTCCAGCTCCACACCTGACCCCCTGGAGAGCAATCTTCAGTGCAACCTCATCCCCATGCTCTTCTCAACAGTCCCAGCTCCAGCCTCTGTAGAAGGGTCAAGAATTTGAGTCTATTCAATGAACGCATAACAAAATGTGTTACTCTAATATATAAATTAAATATTTAAATTAAAACAAATAACCTAAAAATAAATATATCAGCACCATAGAAACAAAGAAGGCAAGAAAATAAAATACAATTCACGCATCCAAGCATAAAAAAACAGTATCTCAAAAGAATTCTCAGAGCCAGAGCAGCAGAGCCCGTCTGGGAGCAGCCATGCTGCCTGCTGCAGGCACACCCAGCCCCTTCCTCTCACCCTGCGCTGTGCTGTTCATGCTATCAGTACTGGACACTCCCCTGGCCAGCTCTGCCCACAACTTCCATTGCACTTTTGGGCTCCAATATCTTTTGCTGTTTTGTTAGTAATTTATTTAATACATAATATACAAGTTCTACTTTTTCTCAAGTAGATAATTTCAATTTTGTCAAACCCATTTTCCTCTTGCAGGAATTGACTTTGCCAAAGTAAGACACACACACACACCTATTTCTGGACTCTGTGTTTACAGTGTTTATTTGTTGCTGTTGTTATTTTTGGTGGTACTGGGCTTGGCCTTGGGGCCTAATATCTGCAAGGCAGTCATACCACAAGGCCTGGGTTTTGTCTTGCTCTATTATGTTACCTACTTGTTAATGCTAACATTAATATTATAGTACCTTAATTATTTTACAGTATGGGAAAGTATCTCAACTTAACTTATTTTTCCCCTTGGCTACTACCCACGAAATTCCCTCAAAACTCCACTGAGATTTACTAGAATTTTACAGAATGGACAAGTGGCCATCTTTAAATGACGACTTGTCCCATGAACTAATCCAACTTTCAACTTTATTATGTGTTTAATAAAAATTCTGAAGCAGAGGACCCAACATTCTTTGCATTTTCACCATCTATAATTTTAAGATCATAGAAATAACATTATTTAAAAAATCAAAACCATGGGAAGGTGATGGGTTGGGCTAGGGCTTCTCAATTAGGAAATATGAACATTCCCAAAACGGACTATTGCAGATGAATCAAATGTTAGAAGAATAACCATTATCAACACGTAAAGACTGAAACTGGGTGCCTGTCTGTCACCTTGCACTATGACCAACTCAAAATGGATAAAAACCTCTACATCAAGCCTGAAACCTTGAAATAACTATAAGAAGGGGTAGGAGAGACATTAGAACTTACTGGCATAGGCAGGAACTTTCTGAAGAGTTCCAGGGACTCAGCAAATAGGTGAGAGACTCAACAAATGGGACAGCATCAGAATACAAAGTTTCTACACAGTAAAGGACATTGTTACTAAACTAGAAAGACCTCCAGCAGAATGGGAGAAGGTTTTTCCCAGCAACACATCCGACAAGGGTCTAATATCCAGAATATTCAAGGAGTTCAGGAAACAAAATCCCCCCAAATCAATAACCCAAGTAGTAAATCAGCAAAGGAGCTAAACAGAGACTTCTCAGAACTAAAAATTGCTGATACACACATGTGGAGATGCTCAACATCCCTGGCCGCAAAGCACACATAACTGAAAACAACACTGAGATTCTAATTCAGTCCAGTATGACTCCAGCATTGAAAATTCCCACTGTTGGTGGGAATGTAAACTAGTACAACCACTCTGGAAGGTGGTTTGAAGATTCCTTAAGAAACTAAACACAGAACTTTTCTATGACCCAGTGATACTACTTCTGGGCATCTACCCAGAACACTACAAGCCAGAATACTGTAAAGAAACTTGCACATCCATGTTTACTGCTGCACTATTTACAATGGACAAGTTATGGAAATAACCCAGATGCCCCACAACGGATGAGTGTGTCAAGAAAATGTATGCAATATATATGCAACAGAATTTTACTCAGCCATTAGAAAGAATATTATGTCATTTGCAGAGAAATACAGCAGTTGTTTTCTCTCATATGTGAAAGCTGGACCTACAATACAAGCGTACATGATAACATACAGGGTTTATGTATATATGTACACACAAACTGACAGAAGGAGGGTACGCTTAGGGGAGGGGTCCAAAGGTGCAACTCCTCTGAATAAGTAATGCAGTGATTTAAAATACAAATACCAGGAAGCAGCAATGCATTTTGGGGAGACACACAAAAGGAAGGAGGGAAGAGTGAACAGTCATTACATTCATTGTAAACTATGTAAAAACTGAACTACATAACTTGAGGGTGGGGATGGGAGTGGGAAAATGGGGGAGAGCGACTGAAGGGGCGACAGCAACCAAGATGCAGTGCACTCATGACCTGACACATGGAACCGTAACCTCTTTGTACAACTACTTAACAACAAGAATGCCCACTTTCCCAACCATTTTCTTACCTTCTGTGAGTTTTCAACTTCCCTTGCACTGTACTGTAAAACCTCACATTTCTCACTGTAGGAAAAAGCAAGACCAAGTTCAGTGTCAACATCAGGAATCCGAATGAATGAACAGACGCTCAAGTCACCTGCTCCAAGCCTAACGCAATAGGCCATGAGTGGGACAGAGCGCTGAGGCCAGAGGTAAAGGTAACACAGTGGCAGTGTGTTCACTGCTGGCACAGACAAGAGCAGGCCTGCTTCCTGGCCTGCCTCTCCTGTCTACACCACCCCTTGCTGCAGGGGGGCAATCCTGGCCACCCCCGGGACAGGGGTCACTGATGCCACACCTGCACTCTCCACCACAGCGCAGGGCAGAGCAGCCTGGCTTTCCTGGACTCCACAGAGAGCAGCAGGCATGGCAGGTGGGATAGCCACTGATGAGAGCCACCCCCCTGCCCCCGGTAACCATGCAACAGGGTTCCCTTAGTCCTCGGTCTTTTGTCTGGGCGCTGGTAAATCCCCACAAGGTCTCGGCTCAGAAGAAGGGGAGAGCCATTCACTGTCCTTTTCCCCCTGGGTTGACACAGACCATTCCGAGACCTGGCTGTCCAGCCAGGAGGTGACTGAAACCCAGCAGACTGAGAAGCTTGGACCTCACCACATGGAGGAGCCGCCTCAGCGGTCACCCAGCCACCAGAGGCCCTGGCAGACAAGCCATCAGGAGGCCAGACCAGGAGTACCGAAGATTACCCCTGCTGGAAAATGCCTTCTGATTCTAAAACACAATTGACTTAGAAATGTTACATTATAACCTATTTGTAATAGGTTTTGTTTTCCTGAATTTTAAGTTTCATAGTGAACTTCTAGGAGAAAATTTTAAACTCCAGAGTATGGTCAGGGCCTATAAGTCACTTAAAACACAGATCATGAAATACTTTTGGCACAAGTTCTTCTAAATATGACAAGTGACCCATAATTTATATTAGGCTGTTCTAAATACAAACAGCTTGTGCGGTCAGACAGAATATACTTCACAAGGACAGAGACCCTGCTTATCCAAATGCTCAAAACTTAATAAATCTACACTAACAAGAGGGGTCATAATTGCTAATGTGCATCTAGAAAAGTCAATCAATTCAACACATGTGTTGGCACTCATATGTGCAGCCACAGACTGCTTACTTCTTAGAAGCAAAGCCCAACCACAATTCCTGAGCAAAAGCATGTCGATGAGCTGAGCACATGCACCCTGCTCTCCACAAGGGCTGCGGGTGACAAAGCCCCTGACACAAGTAGACAGAAGAATGATCTCAGACTTCAGTGACACTTTATGTGATTCCAACAAACACTGGAGAAAATGCTTTATGTTGACCTTGTTCATACAATGCACTGGAAGAGCTTGGCTTAAGTCGCCATTACCTGGAGGTAGTCAGTGTGGGAACAAATGTAGAAGAAAATGAACCAGACCCAGGCATCAGTGGTCATGGCTCCTCACTCAGAGTGGACCTCACCCATTCCAGAGCCATAAACAGAGGGTCTAGTGTGTACTTTTGCCTTATGGGTGATTGAAGCTGGGGGCAAAATAAACAGAACAAATGTCAGCTAAGGTTTATACGCTATAATTCAATAGTCTAAAATCCCTGGGTAAGGGTGACCTGAGCTCTTCTGTCCTAGAAATCTCAGACTTGTTTTCTCTGAGGAATCAGGGAGGCCTCTTTCTCCCAGGTAAGTGTGGCTCTCTACCTCATGAGTGAATTATAGCACTGGACGACCGGAAAATTGGCAATGACCTCAAAGGCCCCTGAGAAAGGCCTTTAGGTCACAGGCAGCACCCCTGCAGTGCCCTCTCACATTGCCCCACCACTCTTAACAGGGTGCAGTGCTGAGCCATGTGTCTGGGTCACCGGAGTTGCAACGCCACCTAGAGGCTGACAGCGCTGATGCACACTGCCTGCAGCCCAGCAGTGGAGCTGGGCATGTGTACCAGGGGGTGCCACAGCAGATCACCCAGGCTGCACAGGCCGCCTTGTAAAATCCTCCTTCAGAGACCACTCAATCCTGCACCTTTGAGCAGAGGCCTCCGAAAACAGCCCAGCCACCAGTGAGGACTGCAATGGCTATGCGGTCAGTGATGAGAAAATCAAGTTGATCAGTGGGCTCTGCCACGTCGTCCCCAGGAAGCATGCGTGGCAAGGAGGGAGCTGTCTGTTTTAACCTCCCTGAGCCTCAGAGGCATATCTGGATTCTGGAGTGGACTACATTTGAGATCGCAGGACAAAATACTGTGCAGCTTGAGTGTGCAGAGCCCAGTGCTGCTAGCTATACCTCACCATCACCGGAAGCCCTGACAGACAGGCTCCTGAAAGCGACTGCAAGGAAGAGGCAATCTCACTGTGTGCAGGTGAAACCCTGGATCCCTGAAGTCAGGGCTAAGCAGTCTGGGATGACTGGTGAGGAAATTCCTTCCCAGCTGTCTGCAGCCAGAAGACCTTCGGAGGGATGTCTGGAACTGGAATTCCAAAGTTAACTACCTCTGCTTATACTGTGCATTTATGTAGCTCTCTATCTTCCCTTGGGCCTAGATTATAGAAATAGCTTCTCCTGCACATCTGGTCTTAAAAACAGAGCAGAACAGGGTGAAAGGCGCTTACAGGCCACTGTCTTCCCTACAGAAGACAAGCTTACCAGGAGAAGCAGTAACATCAGCTGCAATGTTTATGATGAAGAAGTAAAAATAAATAAAAATGTAAATTAGAGCATTTCTTCATAGTTACTATGGCTTTGTTTTTATTCACAAAACCGTATGACTCCGGGATTTCCTATAAGGGCGTGAACTTGGACTAAGGCAGCAGTAATGACTTCCCTACACAACACTCCCAGACCTTCAGAACAAGCAGCTGAAGCCTGGATGAAAACACTCTTCCCTTATGCTCCCTACAAGACAAGAAGTGGACAGGGAGGAAGACAAAGGGGTTGTGTCTTCTCCTCTAACCCACCAAGCACTCATGGAAACTAACTCTCATCTACGTCTCCATAGGCACCCTGAGGATCTCAAGAAATCCTACGTTATTTACTCAAAATTACCTGAGTCCGAGAGTGCTGAAACATTTCATAGACTGGAGCTTGGTGTACTTCTAGCACTAATGTCTAGGACATAATGAAACAGGAAAAAATACTGGAAAAAATAAGCAAACCAAAACCTCACAAAAATCAAACTGAAATGTCTCCTACCATCCTTGTTCACAAACACTGACTGAAACACCGGGGCAACACCCGGCACTGGAGAAGCCAGAGAAAAGAACGTAATGGGAAGCAGCTTCAGTCCTACCAGGCAGCAGGGGTGGGGCTCACCTCATCTCCGGGAGGAAGGTATTCTTATAGGCATTCTCAATGTCCTGGAGATAGGCTGTGGTGACCTTCACTTCATGTGGCTAAACAAAAGCAGAAAAATCAAAGTAGGTAACATTCAGCCATCATTTTACCTTATTTTTGGTTGCTTGTAGGGCTTGAACTCATGGTCTGGCATTGTCCCTAAGCCTCTTTTTACTCAAGACTAGTGCTCTACCACTTGAGCCACAGAACCACTTCCAGTTTTTGAGTGGTTAATTGGAGATAAGAGTCTCACAGGGACTTTTGTGCCCTGGCTGCTTCAAACCGAGATCTCAGCCTCCTGAGTAGCCAGGATTACAGGCGTGAGTCACTGGTGCCTGGCTGACCAGACATCATTATTTTTATCTGTACATATGTAAAATGCAAAGACAGCCCACAGCACTGCTTTCCACCACCAAGGCATGCACTGCAGGCACTGTGTGGTGCCAGGGAGGGCCTCAGTGCAGGGAAGACCTAGCCTGGCCAAGTGAGCTCACAGACTCGGGATGCACAGGTACAACAGTCCTGCTGCTTATCTTGTGCAGCACTTAAGAGACAAGTGCAGACAGATGACAGACCAGGGGCTCTCCCAACTGCTCTCAGCCACTGCCTGTCAGAGGCTCTACCTCTCTACCTCTACCTCTTCCCCGTCCCTGTCAAACCCCTCCACTCTCTCTTTTACATCTCTTGTTGTCTGATGTATGCTAAGTCAAATTCCATTCTGAGTAGCAGGTTTTCGTATTTAAAACTTTTTAGAGTTTAGCAAAGCAAAGGCTGCGCTGCTTTCTCTCTTCACCCTGCTCCATTTCTATGGCCTTTACCTCGTTACTTCCTTGCTTACCACAGGTCTGTCTGCTCCACAGAACATAAGCTCCAGCACAGAGTAAATGTGGCTTGGCACAGGAGGGAAGAGAGGACAGGCCTACAGTTTACAAAATGGCAGAAATAGTCTAAACAAGGTAGTTGCTGGATTTGGTAAATTTGCTAAAAATCACTTAGTTATATACTTCAAGTAAGTGAATTTACTGGAGTATGAATTATGCCTGATGAAAAGAAAAGAGAGGTGAGGAGATGGGGGAGGGAAGAGTATTTCCTGCATGCAGTGAAGGAGGCCCAGGGAACACCTGCCACGGGCGCTGCATTCCCATGCTGACCACAAAAGGGACCAATTTCCTCAGCAAGGCCTGGGCCCGGGGCAAGCGCCTGCGCTCCATGAGCTCCTGATGGCCAGTGTGCAGTGCCAGCTTGGTAAATGCGGGGTGAAGAAGTGCTATAGGAGATGGCAGGGTCTAAACCTCTATCACTAGGTTTGGTCCAAGTGAAGTAAGATCACGTATAGACTGACCATGAGAGCCCCCACAAACACACAACTGTCACAAAATCTAACCCGCAAATACCAGACAAAATATTCAGTTACCAGTTAGCTTTGCCACGTGTCACATATTCCCTAAGGCTGCGTTTGGAGCTGCATGTCTCATGCATGCTGGCAACTGAGCTGCACAGGAAAGCAAAGGACAACAGCAGCTCCCATGTCCACTCTACAGGAGCCTGCCATTTGGAAGGAGCTTTGTGAACCTCTCCAAGAAAGGAGCTCTGGGGAGGGAACCCCAGGGCCTCACATGAGACACCCGGCCTCTCCACCACACCGTGAGAAAAACCGTGTTTCCTCCTGGACTAAGCACTGCAGCAGACACAGACCTGACCTCAGAGCCGAGCTGGCTGTGCTCGCCTCTGCCTCTGCACACCCCACCCTGCCTAAGCAGGGTACTTGCTACCCAGCAGCCTCAACCAGAAGACAGCAACTGGCTGTGCATGCTACTGCTCTAGGACGGCATGTAGGAAGAGGGAAAGGCCACTTCAGGCCCTGCCAGGGCAAGAACATGGGAACAGTAGGATGTGAGACCCCTGCAGCTCCCCTGGGAAGAGCAGGTGTCAGCAGAGCCACGCAAATGACAGATCGCACAGGGAAAGCAGCTCTTCACCAGGTGGCCCCAGACTCAGCTGCAGGTGTCACCCACTCAGGCTGGCTGAGCACGCATCTCCCCTCCACATACAGACTCAGCCGGGACCTGCTGCATGTGTCACCTGACCTGGCAAGAACAGTAAGGAATTAAGAGCTCTGCTAGGTGATGATCACATAACAAAGGTGTACCACAAGAAGCCTAGAGCCTGGCACTGATGACAGGTGCCTATACTCCTTGCTACTTGGAGGTCAGGGGGAATGTGGTTCCAGGACAAGCCAGGCAAAACGTGTGTAAGACACCATCTCAACCAACAGCTAGGTAAGTGCCTCGCACCTGGCACCCCAGCTACTGGAAACTGAGATTGGGAGGGTTGTGGGTCCAGGCTAATCCAGGCAAAAAGCTCATGAGATCCTCATGTAAAGCATGGTAGTTCATTTTTGCCATCTCAGCTACAACAAGAAGAATAATTAGAAGGATATGACCAGCCCAGCCTGGGCAAACAGTAAGATTGTATCTAAAATAACTAGAGCAATACAGACGGGAGGAATTGCTCATGCAGTAAAACCCCAGATCTGGACACAAAGGCTGACTTACATCCCCCTTTGCCTGGATTCGCCTCTGTATCTCCGGCACCGGCACGTCGATGTAGACCACCAGGTGTGGGGGGAGGTACTCACGGATGGTGAGGTTCTTCACCTCGTAATAGTGGTCCACACCTGGTGCGAGAGAGAGCACACACAGTTCTCAGAGCTGTATGACAACCTGCACATCACCTAACAGAGCAGAAACCACTGAGCACAAATGCCAGGCATGGGACAGCCTTCCAGAGGGTGTGAGAAGGGCCTGGCGTTAGCACTGCCGCACAGCAAAAGGTGTGAGCATGTGGAAGGCCTTGGGGGCGGGGGGGAGGGCGGGCACATGTTTATGTGTAGCATGTAGAAGGCTTTCCAGGGGCTATGGGGGGGGGGGACACACATGGGTGTGTCCATGGTGTAGCATGAGACAGCCTTCCAGGAGCTATGGGGGGGGTTACACATTCTGGATGTAGCATGGATGGCCTTCCAGGGGCTGTGGGGGGGGGGGGTTACACATTCTGGATGTAGCATGGATGGCCTTCCAGGGGCTGTGGGGGTTATACATGCTAGGTGAGCATGGGACAGCCTTCCAGGAGCTATGGGGCAGAGGGGGGGGGGAGGTTACACATTCTAGATGTAGCATGGGACAGCCTTCCAGGAGCTGTGGGAGGCACATGTTCTAAGTAAGGCATGGACAGCTTTCCAGGGGCTGGGGAAGGGGGGTAACACATGGGACACCTTCCAGGAGCTATGTTATGTGTGCACACTCTAGGTGTGAGCATGGGACACCTTCCAGGAGCCGTGTTATGTGTGCACACTCTAGGTGTGAGCATGGGACACCTTCCAGGATCCGTGTTTTGTGTGCACACTCTAGGTGTGAGCATGGGACACCTTCCAGGAGCCGTGCTATGTGTGCACACTCTAGGTGTGAGCATGGGACACCTT